TGGTTCTTCAAAAAAAAACCAACTCCTCACAAACTCTCTCAGATCATCCTATCTTCTCAAAAAAAGGAAAAAAAAGATTGTTGTTTCTCTTCAATTCACCATATCAAAATCTCAGACCCAATTTTTTTTCCCATCACCAATTCTTAACCTACTTTTTCTCTCTAAAATCACTCATTCTAATCATCAACCTTCCTTCTCTTTCTCTTCTGTTGAACGAATAAAAATCCAAAGTAAATCAACACAAAAGCAAAGCCAAGAGGGGAAGTAGTGAAAGAGGAAATAAGACCTCTATAACTCACCCCTTCAAGAAGGAAATAGGGCATTGCCCGGATCCAAGAAAAAGACAAAAAATGTCAAGGATCTCCAGTCAAACAGGCACCTCCAGTAGCCTTCTCTATTCTTCTTCGACGTCAGCAGCTACAAGCGCACGTCAACTTTCTCTCATCTTCATCGACGTTAGCAGCTACTAGCGCACGTCAATTTCTCTCTTCTCCAACGACGTTAGCAGCCACCAGTGCACGACAGACTTCTCTCTTTTCTAACGACGTCAGCAGCCACCGGCGCACGTTAGACTTCTCTCTTTTCTAACGACATTAACAACCACCGTCACACGTCAGACTTCTCTCTTCTCAAAGTTTCCAGTTTCTAGCTAGTCTCCAAGCTTCCTCTTGCTTCAGTCAGAGTTCAGCTTGAGGGGAGGTGTTAAACAATAATAATAATATTACTTGTGGTAGTATTAGTTGTGGTAGTGTTTCATTATTAGTCAGCTTCATAATCCTATTTGTGTTAAATGTTGTATTTTAGTTAGTCTTCATTCTTTAATCCTAGTTGTGTTAGGAGTCTCTTTTATATATACTCTATCATGTACTTCATAATTCAATGATATTATTATTCCAATATTTCAACACTCCGATCCACATAAAGAATAAACCTAATTGGAACTAATATGAATATTAAAAAACTTGAAATTGTATGATTGAGACTCTCATATTGATGTAGAGAAGAATAAATGGGAATATTATAAATCGCACTACTAAAAAGAATTTTTAGTTATAATGTAAATTAAATATAATTAAAAAATTTTAAAATATAATTTTGAATTTTTGATACATCAACTTTTTATATGTAGTAATATTTATTTTTTAAAAAGTATATTAATTTGTGCAGTGGTTAAATTAAGATACATGATCAATTGTTTCTTTAACTTTGAGATTTAAGGAATTTTCTTTGTTGTAACTTGTAACCCATTCATATTAAAATAAAGTTTACATTTTTACTGTTCTACCCATTGGAATATAAGGAGTAATTTTCTACATATTTTCATAAAATGATATCATAAATGTAAATATTGAAAATGAAGGGTCAAACCCTAATGCCCTATGGAGTCGCCACTGCTCCACAAAAAAATACTCCTCGTTTGCAAAAAGACTTCCTATTTTGATTTGGAGCAAAAATAAAAAAGTGTTAAATTATAGTTAATTTTCAATTTTGCCCTTGATGTGATGGGTAAAAATAAGATGTGATAGATAGATTATTAGAGAAAAAATATGATGTGATAGATAGGAGGGTATGAAAAAGTAAGAGTAAAAGTGGTTTTTTAATAGAAAAAGAAACTATTTTGTTGGAAGTGGAAAAAATGAAAAAGGAAGTGTTTTTGAAAACGGATGGAGTATTACTCCAGCTATATATAATAAAGCTGTGTTTCGGACCCTTGCTTCTCATATCAAACATGAAATATTTACATTAAATAACACTAAAACTTTAGTCATTTCCCTAAATAACACTTAAGTTATTTTATTTCTTAAATAACACTTAATAATATCCATAATGTCTAGTGATGACGAACATTATATTTACTTAAATAATGACTACTGTATAATGACTAAAAGTACTACATTGGGAAAAAATACATATGGTGCTATTTAAGAAAAATCATTATCTTTTAGTGCTATTTAAGTACATTTCCCATCAAACATACCAACATATACCCAACTTAACAACTCTACCAACTTTTTTTAGTGGATTTAATTGATTTCACTTCACCCTGTATAGGTCCACCCCTTGTGATCACCTTCTGTGTTGGTATGTGTTGGGACTGCGTGTGCCTTCCCCCAACCCCGCATTAGTATGATATTGTCCGCTCTGGGCCAAGCCCTCACGGATTTGTTTTTGGGCACCTCCCAAAAGGCCTCATACTAATGAGGTTGGGTGAACCTATATATTTTGGTCCATTTTTTCTTCTCCCTCCGGTGTGGGACTTGGAGGAATCCCAACAAACCTCCCCTCATCCAAGGACCACACAACTTCCGACCTCCCCTCCAGCGGTAATCCCCTTCTTTTTTTCTCTCTTTATCTGCTAGCCATCTTGCACCGCCGCACACTCTTTGCGAGACACGCCGCCCGACCTCTTGTCGGGAAGACTTTCGATGCAAGGCTCGAACCGCAGATCTTTCTTTCGCTGGGCTACACCATTTGATCCGCCAAATCATCTTGTACCGCCGTGGCTATAAACTTCACGGGACGCGCCGCCCGACCTCCTCTCGTCGGGAAGACTTTCGACACAAGGCACCACCTGCAGATCCTCTTTCTTGGTCTTGGTCGTCACACCGAGATTTTTTCCACACTGCACAGTCCGCTACTCCCGCCCGCAAGAATCTGGGCTCCGATACCACATGTTGGAACTGCGTGTGCCCTCCCCCCAACCCCGCATTAGTATGATATTGTCCGCTCTGGGCCAAGTCCTCACGGATTTGTTTTTGGACACTTCCCAAAAGGCCTCATACTAATGGGGTTGGGTGAACCTATATATTTTGATCCATTTTTTCTTCTCCCTCCGGTGTGGGACTTGGAGGAATCCCAACAGTATGTAGTATCATTCCTCGACATCCTCTCGCTCTCACGTAAAGTAGTGGTCCCTCATCAACTGTGAGAGTTGTTCTTCCTAGCTACAAGTAATGTCTACACTAATGGCTTGTAGCTAGGGCTTCGATAATGATGCTAAAAACAACAACTCTTGCTCCTCATCTTTAATCTTGTCATCATCATTCATCAACTGAAATACTAGTTGGTTAAACATGTTAATATGGTCATGAAGATTACCTATGTCTCCTTCCTCCATCTTAAGTGAGTACAACTTCATCTTCAAGCATAACTACTTCGTCAAAGATTTTGACGCGTAGATACTCTCGAGCTCAGTGGCGGAGCCAGGATCAAATGCTTGAGGGGCATGCTGCTAGACTACCAGAATTTGGATGTAGCCTTCAAATTTTTTTTGGTATAAAGACTATAAATGACGAAAAAGCTAATGGATTTTATTTCAAACAATCATTTGCATGATAAAATTTAAGTTGTTTGAGGTATAATTTGATCATCAAAATTTTTAATTTGAACATCCACATTTTTTATGTTTTTAATTTGTAGAGTTTGTTTTTAGAAAAGTAAAACAAAAATATAAACTAAAAACAAACTAATTCCTTCGATCACCAAAACTGATCCTATTTTGCTAAGAATATATATTTATAGTTGACTTTTTAATTTTATCCTTGATGTGAAGAGTAAAAAGTAAGATGTGATGATTAGATATTAGTAAAAAATTATAATATGAAAGATAAGTAAAGAAAAAATAGGGTAAAAATTGTTTTAATAGAAAGGACAAATATGTTCTTGAAAGAAAGAAAAATCCACCCCTGCAGACAATATATTTTTATACTCCCTCCATCCCTAAATAGATTACAATTTTTTTCTTTCTCTCCTCTCGATAACTTTTGTTTGTTTACGCAATTTCATTAAGTATTTGATAAAATAAAATATTTTTTATCAAGACCTTTATGCACTAATAGGTCTTGAATCGTACTCTCCCAGAATGTATTGTTTCCACATCAAAGAATGAAAACTCGAACATCTTCAGCATTCTTGCTGTCATCACTCCAACACGAGATCTTTCAAGCAACACACTCTAACTGTATTTCTACCTTTGTGAACCTTGGCTCTGATATCACTATTGGGGAATATAATGGGCGTGTCTCAATATCTTTCCCTGATTCACACAATCGAACGTTTATACTTTCACACACGCATAGTCAATAATATAAAGGTACAAATTCAGAAAACGAATTTGTATTATATATGGAGAAATGTAACAAGAGAAATTTAAATTACAATTATACGGGTAGCACACTTCACTCTTTGTACTCTCAAGAAGTCTTGGCTTGATGGCTCTTCAATTCATTCTTCAATTGTCAAATGAGACATCCCCCCTCTTTATTATACTCATCACTAAGGCTAATCTTCTCTAGAGTATTTCACACATTTCTAAATCTCTATAATCTTCTAAAAAGTCATCACAAGCTTCCATTAGTTTCTAAAAGAAACTAGAGGACTTCATATAGTTCTAGAATATTCTAGAGAGTTATATATCCTTCCACATACATGTAGAGACTTCCACACTTTTTTAGAGAGCTCTAGAATATTCTAAAAAACTTTTACACAATACTAGAGACTTCTATCGTTTTCTAGAAAATTTCATAACATTCTAGAGAATTGTACGCATTTCTACGAACTTCTAGAATTCCCTAGAATCTTCCATCTCACAATTTAATATCCTAATATTTTTGCCCCTACATGCTACTCCCTCCATTCTCAAAAACTCTTCCTATTTCATTTTTTCCATTTCCAACAAAACACTTCCACTTTCTATTAAAAAACCACTTTTATCCTTACTTTTTCATACCTTATCTACCATCGTAGTTTTTCTCTAATACTCAATGCATCACATCTTACTTTTACTCATCACATTAAGGGCAAAATTGAAAGTCAACTACAATTTAATACTCCTTTATTTTTATACAAAGTCAAAATAGGAACACTTGTATAGAAGGGAGGGAGTACAATATATGCATGTGATTTTTGAGTGGGTGATTGTACTTTGAGTGACCTGTTTCGTCCTTTTGTTCAAAGCTTTGTCCATATCATGACTTCAAACCCATCTCATCTTCTTTTAGAGGATGAAAAATATTTCGGTCCTCACGCTTGAATTCATTTTTCGGCGAGATCCGATCCTTTCTTTGTGTAGAAGTGGATTTTGAATATGGAGTTAATATCATTTTGGGTGTAGAATGTAGTATAATATTTTCATAAATATAATTGCAATATTTTCTACTAAATACATGAGATAATTAGTATTAACCAATTTTAATCTTTATATTAAAAGTATATTGTTGTAATCTTTACAAGCATAGAGATTGTAGCACTAGACTAGCGCCGGTGTTATTCGTATGTCAACATTAGAAGCCTGACACTTGAACGGCTACGTTTGCTTCGTCATCACTCATCCGCGACTTCACGTCAATAGCGCTTTCATGAAAAGGTATAAGTTTCTATCTCTAGCTATAGTTTTAGTACCAGATGTGATCTTGGTCGGATGAAAACCGTGCTCGAAGTGTTAAGATTTTTGTATTTTGGCTGCCTATCTTAATTAGATGGTTGCCTTTCACATTCCCCTCCATGTACCCGGTGTGAATCCTCAACCGCACTTCAGCGCCTCAACCTGCTGGTCTTCTTGCTCAGCCGCCATTCACTCCGTTCACTACCTCAGCTCCAATCAATCAACGTTTTCAGCCATTGCATGTCGTCGCATCACTTTCGCCCGTACGCAGCAACTTTGCCTCTTCATATGTCACTCCAAGCCATCAATTTTGACAGGTTTTTTAAATTTAAATTTTAAAAATAAATGTTAATACTTCAAATTGTGAGTGTTTACTCCATAATTAATATCTCTCCTTAAGAGATACTCCCTCCGTTTGCAAAAAAAATTCCTATTTTGACTTGGAGCCAAAATAAGAAAGTGTTAAATTATAGTTGACTTCCAATTTTGCCCCTGATGTGATGGGTAAAAGTAAGATGTGATGGATAGATTATTAGAGAAAAAGTATGATGTGATAGGTAGGGTATGAAAAAGTAAGGGTAAAAGTGGTTTTTAATAGAAAGAGGAAGTGTTTTGTTGGAAGTGAAAAAAACGAAAGATGAAGTGTTTTTAAGAATGGAGAGAGTAATATTTTTATTAAAATATCTCATCCTTATAAAAGATCAAAACTTTAGAAACTCAAATTACATGTAGCAATAAAAATGTATTCTAAAAGTAGAATGAGATTGACATTGTAAATGTATTTTAAAAATAATTTTCCAGACGTCTAATAATTAAGGATTACTTTCTCAATTTTCTATTTAACTTGTTTCTAAAGTTTATTCTTTTTCATTTTTAAGAATAATAATAATAAGTGTGCCTCTAAAATGAGTAATTTTGATGTTATTTTTTAATTATGATTCATCAATCCTACACATATAGATATCATCTTGCTCTATTATAAAGTAAGGGCAAAATTAGAAAATAATACGGAGTATCAAAATTATTCATTTTAAGGGTGTGCTTCTTTTAAAAAAGGAAGGGTTTTTTGAGACGGAGGAAGGTCGGCTTGAAGGTTCACATTTCACGTCTAAACCTTAAGACCATAATCGCACAACTCTTTCTAAATACTCGTATTGAATTACTTTGTTTTGTATTAATTTAAAATGAGAGTTTTGCTCAATTTAAGAACTTTTGATTAAAAAAATTACGAGTATATTTTGTGAATTTTTTCTTTTAAATGTTTGTTTACTGCATTTTGTTAGGGAAACTCCTTGGATAACCGTTGGTTGACTAGTTAATCACTCTGCTATATAACACACTCATCATTTTTCCATCATACTGACAATGCGTATTTATACACCACACTGTTGGTAGACTCTAATTTTGGTCTTAAAAGACTTGAAATTTCTATTTTGATATTTTCATAATTTTTTACTCTTTTTCACGAAGATTTCTATTAAAAAACCACTTTTACCCCTTACTTTTTCATACCCTACCTATCACATCATACCTTTTTTTTAATAACCTACACATCGCATCCTATTTTTACCCATCACATCAAGGGTATTTTTGGAAAGTCAACATAAAATTATCCATCCTTATTTTATCACTTTAGTCAAATCGTCCCAATCTTTTTGGGACAGAGGGACTATAAAAATACAGACAAATGAGAGAGCGATTGTAGAAATAGAGTATGTTGTTAGATGAGAAAATCTATATGACATGAGTGTGCAAATTATTACTCCCTCCCTTTCAAAAAAATTATTCCACTTCTACTTTTTATATATTGTACAAAACACTTTTATCTCATATAAAATATCTAAAATACTCGAAAACAATTTCTACATATAAGAGAGGAGAAATAGGATATATTTTAGACATTTTAAGAATAAATGGGTTTTGTACGATGTGCAAAAAATGAAAGTAATAAAACATTTTTTAAAAGAAATATTTGCACTAAATAACACTAAAACTTAAGTCATTTTTCTAAATAGCCCTTAAATTATTTTATTCCCTAAATGACACTTAATAATGTCCATAATGTCTAGTGATGGCGAATATTTGCTTGAATAATGACTAATGCATAATGATTAAAAGTGCTACATTGGGAAGAAAAACACATGTGGTGCTATTTAGAGAAAGTCATTATTTTTAGTGCTATTTAAGTAAATTCCTTTTTTTAAAAACGGAGGTAATAGGTTTATAGTAACATTTTGGAGAGTTTAGCTGGTTGGTTATTAGTTTTTTTTAAATTAGTAATTAGTGTAATGTATTTTGTTCGCAAATAACCAGTAATGTATACCTAATTGATTAGAAGAAGATAATACTACTCCACTTTTAGAAGAAAATAATTAAGATTGCTTCCTTGGTCGCGCATTATCTTCTTGTATAAGGTTGACATGCAGCAGTTTTTAATAATGCAATTTTTGTAGTTAGTATAGTGGAAAGATAATAATACCAACTATAATTTTTTTATCATAAATAGAAAGAGGAAGAAAAAATAGTGGTCTTAAGATATCTTAGGTTTTCAGTCGTCACGGAGAAACTTGATATCGAAGAAAATGTGAGACACGGCATACAATTGTCAGATTCATCGTTACGTCATCTTATGGATAATTATTGAAACGGTCGCTAGTGGTACCCCACTTGGTGTACACCAACTGAAATACCTCGAATATTTTCCTCATGAAAATAAATATTCTCTTTAAATCGGATTCAATTTTCCGCTTTTGAACAAAATATCATAATTTCTTTGATAAATATAAAAGATTGTCAGACAAACAAAAATAGGAAAAAAATGGATAGGACTTATATCAGGACGGAAGAAGACTATGTGGGTTGAACTATGTTCAAGAATCTCTGTACCTCACTATTTATTAATATCATCTTAAGTCGAGCATCCAAATCGGGACCCTTCTCTAATCTAACGTAAGGGCTAACCTTTCTTTTGAGATGCGAAAGGAAAGAATGCTAAAGATTAGGGGTTGGTAAGGCAAAATGGGGCCCCCATTGAGTGCTCTACCTCAAGTCCTCGGGCCATCGACATTATACGCTATACTGAAATAGATTTTGCGGAAAACCAACTATATATGATCTTGGTTGGCCTTTCGCCCCTAGCCGGCTCTCCTCTCCTCTCCCTCTTTGAGCAACACATGTTGGTTGTTCCTTTCTTCAGTGACTTCGTACCTTTTAGTCGAGCAACTTCTTGATTTTTGTTATTGTTATTGTGTACCCATTCTCATCCCAAATGGATAATGCCAAATAGTCAAAAAGTCGAGACCGCAAAACAACCTAACAACTGAAGCCTAAGCCCAATTCTTATGTGTATCCATGGGCTTAAAATTTGAATAAATAAAAATAGATTTTAAACAAAAATAGGTTTGATATAATAATTCTAATTAATAAACTATCAAAGTCTTTTGAAAGGACAAAGTTTTACGTGATCCTAAGAACCTTTCTCATTTCATGAACCTTAGTGTATTAATATTATAAAAGAATTAGATTTTTTTGCCAAAAAAATAATAAAAGATGAATTTGCTAGCCCATGAAAAATGTGAAAAACTCCACATTTCACAAGTAGACCTCAAAAACATGAAAGAACAACTCCTTTCAAAAAGTAATTACTATCGAAGATATAGAAATATGAATTTCTTTGGAAAAAGATGGAATGTGAATTACCACCCCTTCACGGCTTCACCTTTGTTTAAGTTTCACTTTCCTTTTTTGTGTATCTCTAAGGCCTTATTCTCTTTAACTTATTCATATTAATTATTATTTTTCTTATTAAAATTAGTTCAAATCAGTTCAGATTAAATCAAATCAAAAAGAATTTTAGATATAACTACATTTTGATCGGAGCAAATGAGATCAGATTCTTTCAGGGTGAAAAGAACATTACTTAAATAATCTCTAATTCTTTTAAATAAATTACAACCATAAAGTTTTATTATTCTATATCAAAACTTACTTTCTTGGTCGCAAAATTATCTTCTTTGTAGTTAGTAGTATAGAGGAAAGACTGTAATATGAACCATAATTTTTCATAAAAAGAAAGTGGAAGAAAAAAAAAGCGGTCTTCGGAAATCATAGATTTGCAGACGTCACGGAGAAACATGATATGTAAGTAAAAATGTGAGACGTCATCTTCGTGAAATAAATACGGAAATACAAACCGACAATCCGACAAGATCTTAGTTCCCAGGTCGTCGCGAACCGCGATTTTCTTGGAAATCTAGGTGCGCAATTTTGTAAAACAATAATTATGGAAATAAATACTCTCTCCATTTCGAATTCAACTATCTGCTGATAGACAAATTATCATAATTTCTTTGGTAAATATGAAAGATTTGACAGCTAATTTCACACAAACACAAAAACAAAAGAAAGTGAGAGTACTTAAATTAGGACGGAAGGAGTATATCAACTTGACCACTTTTTGTGATTACTATTGTGTAACCCATTCTCATCCCAAATGGATAAAGTCAAATAGTCAATGAATAAAGGATTTTGGAAAAGTCTTTGTGAGACAAATAAATGTGAAAATAAAAAAAATTGAAAAGATAATTACCCGTCCCAAAGAATTGGGAAAGAGTGATCCTACGCACCAGACACCTCAAGCTGAGTCATCCAACATTAATGCAAAACCTGGTAATTAGTTAACGTTGTGTTAATTAATCACAGTGTGGTCAAGTTCACTTAATTAAATGATATTTATGGATAACTAATAAATAATAATTCAAAACCAAAAGATCTAATAACAACTTTACATGCAGACATTGGGATGGATAAAGATCCATGATGGCATGATGCATGATGCCCTGCCATGACGATGATGACTCAGTTTCTTGATGAGATTTACGATTGAGGACTCCAAATTCTAAGATATTGTTGAGGAAGGACACATTCTAAGTTGCCTATAAAACCCAAACTCTCTCATTTCTTCTCATCCTCACTGTCACAAACGTAAGCTGATCAGCTAAACCGCCATATACAGACAATTTCCAAGTGCTTTAGTTTTCTTTCTCATCTGTGACAGGATGACCATCCTTGTTCGGCAAGCCGAGCTTGGTTTGTTCCGTACCATTTTTTCTTTTCTTAGACGTCTTTCTCTGGATTTGATTGTATCTCAAATGCTTACTTTGATGTAAAAGTGAGTTCAAACAGAGGTTTCATAATGATGTGTTTTTTTTACGTTTTTTCAGATATGGGTGTTCAGGAGAAAGGAATGGCACCTGAAGGTAATCGATTAATCAGCTGGCTTTTATTTTTCTTTCGATTCCATCTCTCATGATTTGTACGTTTCTTGTTTTTTGCAGAGCTAAAGAAAGTGGAAAACGGTGGCTTCGTCGTGCCAGGGAGCAATGCTTTTGGTAACACATTCAGGTCAGTTTAAATTCCCTAAAGCAAGTTTAAAAAAATTGACAAAATATCACATTTAAAGTGTATTTCGACCAACCGTTCAAACTGAGGAAAAAGATGGTTTGCAGGGATTATAATGCAGATACTGCAAGGAAGGAGATTGTTAAGGAGCTCTATAGGCAAAGCCACATCGGCCAAACCTACGATTTCGTAAGAAAGTTATATAATATGCAGACGCGCAAGAGAAATGAAACAGACTCATACTATATAGCTAAATGCCTAAATGGTTATGACTTATGATCTTAAATGCAGGTGAAGAAGATGAGGGACAAGTATGGGAAGATGGACAGGGTGGAGATGAGCATATGGGAATGTTGTGAGCTTTTGAATGATGTTGTGGATGATAGTGATCCTGATCTGGATGAACCCCAAATCGAGCATTTGTTGCAGACAGCTGAAGCCATCAGGAAAGACTATCCTAATGAGGACTGGCTCCATTTGACTGCACTTATCCATGGTTCGTTTGAAATCCTCGAATATATATATATATATATATATATATATATATATATATATATATATATATATATATATATATATATATATATTTAAAAAAAAATATGAACTTTACCTTTGGGTCTTGGACTACTCTTTTTATCAGAATGAAACCCAAAGTCTTCATTAGTGTCAATTTTTACAGTATTTTCTTTAATTAAGTTGAAGGCTAAAATTTGAATCTTTGATGTGATAGATCTTGGCAAAGTTCTGTTGATACCGAGCTTTGGAGAGCTTCCTCAATGGGCCGTTGTAGGTGAGATCAATGGTGTATAAATATATGTTAACTATGAAATTTCAATGTTCACATTTATATTTAGTGTTGAGTTCTAAATTTTCCAGGTGACACATTTCCTCTTGGTTGTGCATTTGATGACTCAAATGTTCATCCTGAGGTATGGTATTCGGCCAATTGTATCTAATGTTTTAGGTGTTCCTAAAGTGTTCCCATGACAGCTGATTATAAGTTAGAATGACTCCATAATGAATATTTAATGCATCAACTTTTCATTTTGCGTTTTTTTATTACATTTAAGTTTTTTCTTGAAATTGTCTAATTTGTTCTTGAAACTTGAAAATGAAGTACATTTATTACTCCGTACTAGTTATCATGTGTCCACCACGGGCACACATCTGGAAAAAAACAGAAATTTACTAAGAATTCCATGATTCAGTTCTTCAAGGAGAACCCTGATTATGATAATCCCGCTTACAACACTAAGTACGGGGTTTATTCGGAGGGATGTGGGCTGGATAATGTGCTTATGTCTTGGGGCCATGATGACTACATGTACTTGGTAAAAGTTTCATCCTCTTTTTTTCTTTCTTTCAATCGTTTTAGTAACACTATTTTGATTTCTGTATTATTATGGATGGATGTGGTTTTCACTTTTAGGTGGCTAAGGAAAACAAGACTACACTACCAAATGCTGGGCTGTTTATAATCAGATACCACTCCTTTTATGGTTGGTTTTTTTTCTTTCAATTTCTCCACGGGCGTGTTCACTGTTAAGGGTTAATGGAACCAACATCAGATAAATACTACAAAAGTACAAACCAACACCTGCAAATTGCAAGCATGCATAGTTCAAAGCTTAATGTTTTTTTCTTGTCATGAAGCTCTGCACAAGGCAGGTGCATATACTCACCTGATGAACGAGGAGGATCGGAAGAATCTGAAATGGCTCAAAGTATTCAAGTAAATGTCGTTTGGATTTTCTTCCCATAATGTCTTTTCTCTCTCCCTCCTTTGATATCTGAAATGGTATTCTCTGTGTGTAGCCAATATGATCTGTACAGTAAGAGCAAAGTCAAGATTGATGTTGAGAAAGTGAAACCATACTATGAGTCTCTCATTAGGAAGGTAAAATTTCAAGAAACATTTTTTTTCTTAATACGTTTAAACGAGCCATACTTTGCTTTTTTGTTTTACGGAATATTGCAAAATCATATATTGCAGTACTTCCCAGAAAAGCTCAAATGGTGAAATTCTGGAGGATTCGGAAGTTAAGCACATCTGCTTAAAAGCATTAATTGCATCGCCGTGTTCTGTCTTGTTTGTTTATTGTAATAATGTGGTGTACCGGAAGGGAGTTTTCTACTTCCTGCACTTTTAATGTATACATATCGCAATTATACCATCCGACAACATTTTCTTGAAACTGAATAATCTCGTTTTCACGACTTATTATGAACATTTTATATAGTTCCCTTTTAGCGTGTGATGTTTATGACGCATCGTATCAACTTATGGAGGGAACCCATACTATGATGTTCTTAACTAAATCATTGAAATGAACTTACTTTGCAAATGTTCAAGATATAATGCAGACTATACTCCTTGCGTGAGTGCTCCTACAATCTTTACAAAACTACAATAAACCACATGATAGAAGTGATCCTTGAACCAGACCTATATCAAATATTTTGGCAGCTTAGGGAATTCATAATCCGAATTGAGGAGCAATGCCAGCAAACAAACAAAATTCTTGCCACTACAAATCAACATTGAATTCTTATTCTGTGGGCAGAAAGATATCGGAAATTTAAGGGTCAAAGATAAATACTCTGTAGTATACACTGGTATAGACAACTATACATTATAACAATCCATACCATATTTAACAAGTATAGCTATGCTTCATCCCTTTTGGTCCCTCTATCCGTAGTTCATTGTTCATTGTTGCTATAAACATAAGGTTCATCCTACAAATGCCATTTGGACTCTCTTTTTTGAAAAGCGGCTATGGGGATGAAGTCTTCGTCGACCACCCTCAGTTTATCCATAAGCAAATGACTTGATATAAATTTTCTTCTTCATCCGGAAAAAAAAATCTCAATCGGCAGCATCAATGATGTGATGTATATGTTCAGCAACAATCCCAGCAACTATATCAGGAGAGAACTTGGCAATCATATCAGCACGCGCCTGTTTTCCTTTGCCTTTGGCTTCCTCATAATTGATTACTACATGCCTCATTAGCATTTGCAGCTCATCAACAGATGGCTCAGCCCACAAGTGCCCCTTAAAAGGACCTTCTTCAACTTTACTGAACTGGCCAACAGATAAGGGATAGCTATTTGCTTCAGTCATGTACTCTGTTGGGCCAGACCAATTCGTGGATATCACGGGCAGTGACATTGCCATGGCCTCAACAATGGGCCTGCCCCACCCTTCTCCTCTGGAAGGCAAAACAAATGCATTTGCCGCCTTGTAAAGCCTTGGCAGGTCAACCTGAGCTATGTGGTCATCAATCACGTATATCGGTGCCCACCCATGAACAGGTTCTTTCATACCAGACTTCATAACATACTCAACAATCTTGTTCCCGAAATCCCTGTCCGAATGATAGGGATTAGTCAACAAGAACAAAGTGACCCCATCGTCATTGTCAAATTCTCTCAAATAAGAACTCAACAACACATCCCATCCCTTCCTATGCTCCCATTTGAAAACACTCAAGAAAACAAAATCTTTTCCTGAATCAGACTTCCCTAAAACTGAAGCACCCATTGCAGCAATATCAAGAGGCTCATACTTGGCCGGGTCAAAAAACTCTAAATCCACAGGCTGGACAACCTTAACAACCTTGAAAGGATTAACGCCACTGCGGATAAATGTTTCCACATGAAAATCAGTAGGAACCCAAACATAATCCATATTGTTACACCGTTTCACATGATCAGGAGTTACTCTGTCAGTTTCAAACATGGTCCTACCAATCACAGCCTTGAAGATCCCATAACCAATTGGTGGGCATGGAAGGGTCTCAAACAAAGGAGGGTTCCAAGCTCCAGGCTCACTGTGACAGACCACAATAGTCTCATTCAATCTACACTGAGTTTGATGGAGCTCCATGGCTAAGCTTCTCATCTCCTTTGATAGACCTTCCCAGAATTCTATGCTTTCAAGATCTCCGTGTTGCTCAATGCTGACCCTAAATCTCGGGTCTTTCTGATGTTTCAAGAATTGATCCAAGGATAAGATGTATGACCAAGATTCTGAGCTGTACCCACCTCCTGACAAGAAAGGTGCCATCCATAGTAGACAGTAAGGGGGTGTGAGAATGGGGTTTGATGGAATCCGGTTTAGGACTCGTGTGGGGCTTGGGCGAAGAAAATTTTGGAGCTTTTGTAAAATGTTGGATTGGGGGAAGAGGTGGAAATGGTAGGGATCTGATTGGGTGATCCCGTATGAAATTGCTGAGATGAGTACCAAAACTGAGAGTAAAGTGAAGAGCTTCGAAGTCAGAGGCGTTGGCGAGAGCGGTTGCGACGGCGGCGGCGACTGGTGGGGCTCTTGATTTTCGGCGGAATCCATGGCAGACTTCGCTTCCTCCAATCCGCGACGGGGTAAGAGCATCTGGCAAATATAAAAATGGAATGTCACATAGTACATTTCAACCAAGTAATTAATTTTATGAGTTTTTATGATTTTTCTAATAAAAATATTTACTTCTTCTATTCAAATTAGATTACAATTTAAAATTATGAAGTAAAACATCATATTTTTTAAAATCATTTTATTTTAAAATTGGTATAAGAATAAAAAAACTAGAATGTACTCCGTGTATTTTTAAAAAAACTATTTCAAAAGTTTTACTAAACAGGTGATTAAAATATTTCATTTTATTAAATAATCAATGAAAGAACACGGATAAACAAAAATGATCGAGAGCTAAGCTAAGCTAAAAAAAAATTTTGATAAATGAAATTGTACGGAGTAAACAAATGGAGTTAATTTTATTTTTTTTTTAAAAAAGATCAATACCTTATTTCTTTCTTAAAAAATATTTAAAAAAAAAAAGAAATGGGAGATGGGTGCCTCGCAAGTGCCATGGCAACCATGGAGGAATGCTAATGACATTCCACGATTTGGTGATGTGGCAGACGTGGCTGAGGACATTCATCGCCATTGCCATTGCTCTAATACTCTTTTAGAAGACAAAATGTAGAAATTAATAAGAGAGAAAATAGTTTGTATATTGAATTGTTCTTGTGATTACAAAGGTTTAACTCTCTTTATATAGGAAGAGAGTAAAGCATATAAGTAAACTTTTATTCCTACTATATTTCTATTCCTACTATAACAAGAACTAAGCAAACTAGGAAAGATACTAAACCGAATCCCAAAGGGATTCAGTTTCCTTCTTTGATCCGGCTTCCTTCTTCTGTCGCCAACACCCCCCTCAAGCTGGAGCATGAGAGTTCAACATGCCCAGCTTGGACATCAAAAGATTGAACAAAGCAACAAAGCTTGAGGAAGCCGCTACCATCGTTATCCAAGTGTCATCTAGACACTTCAATTTTTTCTTCAACGGAGACGCCAAGCTTTTCGAATCCGCCGAATAATCAGTCGAGTAAAGGAACGCCATTCTTTTCGAACCTTTACCGAATTCGAACAAACAGGGGGAACGCCATTCTTTTCGAACACCCTGAACGCCGACTATTTTTATTGCCTGCTAAGGAAAGAGTTGCCTGTCTCTGTAGAACAACCCTTCTCGGACAACTTCTTCAAGATTGATGGTTGGGCAGGATTCCTCGACAGCAATGTTTTTCGTTGAAGGAGTTCATGATATTCTTTAGTGAGGAAGAACAATCAAATAAAATCAAAACTTACAATATCCCGCCGGTAGGCATTGAATTTTGTATGCCCATCGGCAGGGGAAGAAGCGTGTTTGAGGTCTCAAGAATTCAAAACTTGCTCCAATACCATGTAGAAATTAATAAAAGGAAAAAATATTTTGTATATTGAATTGTTCTTGTGATTACAAAGGTCTAACTCTCTTTATATAGGAAGAGAGTAAAGCATATAAGTAAACTTTTATTCCTACTATATTTCTATTCCTACTATAACAAGAACTAAGCAAACTAGGAAAGATACTAAACCGAATCCCAAAGGGATTCAGTTTCCTTCATGATATTCTTTATTGAGGGAGAACAATCAGAGAAAATAAAAAATTACAATATCCCGCCGGTAGGCATTGAATTGTGTATGCCCACCGGCAGGAGAAGAAACGTGTTTGAGGTCTCAAGAATTCAAAACTTGCTTTGATACCATGTAGAAATTAATAAGAGAGAAAATAGTTTGTATATTGAATTGTTCTTGTGATTACAAAGGTCTAACTCTCTTTATATAGGAAGAGAGTAAAGCATATAAGTAAACTTTTATTCCTACTATATTTCTATTCCTACTATAACAAAAACTAAGCAAACTAGGAAAGATACTAAACCGAATCCCAAAGGGATTCAGTTTCCTTCTTTGATCCGGCTTCCTTCTTCTGTCGCCAACACAAAATGGCTGCCTCTAATCATGGTTCCGAATGGAACGAGAACCAAAATTGTGAGATGATCAGAACCTCATGAACCAGAATGGGAACTTTCCGGACAATACCTGTGCCGGTTCTGGGTTTGTAGTGCAGGAACCGCCGGTTCCTATTCTAGTTCTGGTTCTAGACAAGTTTCACTACAACAATTTGTCGGATCTGCCACAGAAAATTTCTGTCGCAGTTCCTTAAATTCCGTCACAGATTCAGGATCTGCGACGGACTTGCAACGTATGACGCACCGTCGCAGATAAGTCGTCGCAAGAGATTAATCTGCGACGGTGAGCGAAGAGTCTGGTCGCACATGTTTTCTGCCAGTAGAAATGGTTTTTGCCAGTTTACAGTTTCTTTGTTTTTTCTCAAATATCAGCAACATAACATTCGTGGGGATGGGGATTACCAAAAACACAAATTGTAACATAACTAAAAACAATTTTTTAATATTAAAGTCAATAAAAAACCACATAAAAAATACAAATTAAGTTAATTTTTATGTATTGTATGCATAAACATTTCAGTCAGATAATATACATAAACATTGATAATGTTTTCAAACTATCTAACAAATGGCTCCTGCTTGCCCTGCTCCTCCATTTCCATCGTCATTGTCTTGTGGTGGATAGTTATCACCATATAACTTTTTCAAATCTTCTTGCATGGTGGTGAATTTAGAGGCGAGGGCATCAAACTATTCCTGGAGGCGTTGGTTATGCTCTTTTAAGGCCTCAATTTCAGTCTTGCTACTAGCGGAAGAACTAGAGCAACGACGGGTGGATGACGGCTTCAACTTTCTCATTTGACGCTCATAGTCACCAACTGGATGTCATTTTACAACTTTATTTTTCAACTTTATTAGACACTTATTGCATTTAGTTTAATCATTTCACAAGTAACAACTAGATGTCTGCATTTAAATAAATATTTATCACTTTTGTACCAAAAATTCATTTAACAAAATAAAAAACAAAAGGAGATTTCGAAGCCATA